GACGACTATTTGATGAATACATCCGGAAATGGGATGACTAATTGAGAAACTAGTAAGACTATATTAAGAAGGATTTTTGTATTTTGTCTTTAAGAGTCATGAATCCCAATCATTTTAGGGTATTTACTATCTCACTGAGGTATATCGATCAATGTACAAATCATTGGAATCTGAGGGGTACATCTCGGGAGGCTCCCTCGTCAAATGTAGTACTTCATGAAGGCATAGTAATAAATTTGTATTGAAAAACTCAATATGATGCCCTTCTGACTTCAATGACAAAAAAAAAAGACAAATTAAAGATAACAAAAGAAGTAAAAAGAGAGAGAAAAGAGAAACGAATGATAATAATGACAAAGAAAAAGTGAACTAATGAGGGAAACTCAAATTTAAAGTCTTTGTGTGTCTCTAACGGCACACAATCGCGGAATATTCTGAGTTTTGCATCGATGGAGATTGTTTTCCGATACCATATAAAACCTACCGGGGGAGTTTTCGAACTTCTACAGGGCCCTACGGCTGTTCTAAATAGCAGTAGGAGGCGACCCTGGGCTGCTGGGAGCCACCGTCCTAGATTTGGGCTAGCCACTCACTTCTTGGACATAAAACTCTTTTGGCTACAAAACAGACAAGAAAGCGGTGCGCGAAGGCACAAACAACTGTGAATTTCGGCGGATGGAAAAAGTCATACCTATCTACGTATCTTCTACGGCATATTATTCACATTGACATATCAACTGATTCGTTATCGTGTAAATTATAGCTTGTATCATATCAAACACTGTAGCATATGTATATATTCACTATAAAGGATACCACATGACGATTAATTATCTCATACAGAAAACGGCAAAAGTCTTCAAAAAGATATGCTCATTTTCCAGGACTTGACTAATTATAGGTGAACCACAGATGCCACCGGTCAGTCACCGGTGACTTGCGTAAATGTGGCGACCGGTTGACCGGCCATTTTTCAAAAACTTTGACCGGTAAGCGATCGGTGTTTTTTGCTTTCTGTTCGATATAAATATGCTATTTTCTGTCATATTTTCTAATTATAAGCCAAGTCAACCGGTCCCGGTCCAACTCGACCTTTCCCGGCCCAGCAGTTTGATCGGAACCGGACCAGCTGGACCGGATCGGGAACGGACGCCCGGTCGCCCTGTCCGGTTGCATCTCTCAGGTGAACTAAAGTATACATAGAAAAATTAAGTTCATATGTGTCTTGTACAAGTGCTGTAAATTTGACTGATCTTTTTCCTGAACCTCTACGATCAGCTTTAACCTAGAACGAGTCAATCCTACTAAAAAAACGGTATGGAAATAAATAAAGAAGAATTTTGCTAGGCAACGCTGGAAGTGAAACGCAATAAGTCTTCTATCGTTTCTGGTTTAATTCGTTAGATAAGATAAGGTACAGCTAATTCAAAGTTGAAGTATTTTATTTTTGAATTTAACATACATATTCGGATAGCGGAAAGCGAGCTGATTCCGAATATCGTCTTTAAAGTTTTTTGATCTTTGAAACAGTTTTTTTGGATTCAGCATGTCAAACTGTGAATAAAAAACTATTTTCGATGTTCAGCACATCTTCCTTAGCCTCTGCAAAAAATTCGTTTACAAGAGGATACAGAAACGTAAGTCTCTGCTAAAAAAAGCATCAAGTCTTTTTCCTTAAGAGATGGAACCTTGAATCTTAGGCCATTCGAACCGCCTTGAAGTGGAGAACAATGTTATATTCTTTTATATTTAAATTTTTCGTTCCTGTTCAGATATTTCGCTTTCGTTCGAAAAAGTCTAAATTCTCTTCGTAATTCTCAATTTTCTCCAACAGAACTCTTTTATGAAATAGAAATATCATATTTAAAATCAGTATCAAACGAATCGACTGATGTGTACCTCTACCCTAACTGAGTACTTTAATCTTTTTCGAATTTTCGCGTTGAAAACTCATCGAGATTTTCACCAAAAAATGAAAACCAACTATAAATTTTAAAATACACATCAATCGATTCGTTTTTTGATCCTGATTTTAAATATGATATTTCTGCTTCATAAAAGTTGAGTTCTGTTGGAGATAATTGAGAATTACAAGGAGAATTTCGACTTTTTCGAACGAAAGCGAAATATCTGAACAGGAACGAAAAATTTAAATATAGGCCTAAATAGTGAGAATATAGGCCTAAATAGTGAGAATTTCGTTTATTTGTACAATATATCATAGCTAGAACAATATTCTTATAAGTGAAAATTTTAAATCAAGATTCAAAAAACGCTTTAGAGTGAACCGAATTTTGGCAGTTACCCTTGGATTTAAAAAAGTGTGTAGCTCTGCTTTTTTGCACGCTATCAGCTATTATTGAACGGAATATGATTCAGTATGTCGATCGACATATACAGATTATAACATGATTCTGAAAACTTTTTCTAGAATGAGAGGAAGTGTACTCCTAAACCTACGATAAATTGACTGATTAATTGAGCTAACTAATCATCTCTTTCTAATTTTGACAATAAGGATATTTGAATGGTCACATCTATCGTCATTTCCGTTATATTTTTGAATATTTTTAATGGATATGAATAATATTTTTCTAATTTTTTCGTACACACAAAAGTCTTCATCCAACACAAACCATCTGTACTTCGACAGAGGTTAAAATTTTCTACAAGATGTCACACTCGGCCACTTTTTCACCGTCTTCACCGAGTCTGCACGCGTATCTTGTACCTGTTGGCACCAAAACATATTCAAATAGAGACAGCAGGTAGAAATTTGGAATCAGCATGTGAAAATTGAATTCTCTATCAATTTATTTGATGCAAACAACAACAGTTTAACAAACGTCACTATTCTAGCAGACAAGTGTATAGCGAATAGTGAATAAGAATTTTAATGAATAACACTAGTGAAAATTGCATCGAACGAAGTAGCTCAGTTTAAAACTGATATATTTCAGCCAAAGTTCGACAAGCTAACTACATCAGGAACTTCCGCTGAATTGTAGAAATATAACTAGAGACCAACTACCCTTCGGGAAAATGTGATAGATTTTAACTGTTTGGACTTCAAACGGACTTGATAAAAGATCCTTAAGCCCAAGGCCGTCAAAAAAAAGCTTCAAGTCCTGAGTTGGACTTGCCCATCTCTGATGTTACGATACTACTTTTATAAAACTAAAAGGTGATTTGAGATGGTAAAATTTTGTTGATCAGTGTCTGCTGTCTGTGTTTGACTGTAATTACGACTTTTACGCATGCCTACGTTTTGACATTACATAACTTTATCTAGATAAATTTGCTTCGTAAAACTCCTATTGATTCAATAGCTCATAGCACGAGTGGTACTATTTTTCCATTCTTTTTGGATACGTCAGTTTGTCCAATCTTGTTCGTTGCAGTTCCATCAGCCGTGGCGTTCAATTTACGTTTCGTTGAGTTTTAAGGCTGTTTTTTTTTTCCTCAAGTGAGAAACTGAGTTTCAAATTTCAGCCATAATGTAAATGATTCATGTATCAATTTTGATTGAATAGAGCGTATCGATTGATGAGATCCGATTACTTTTCTCTATAATATCAGGTTTCGTTGATGCAATTAAACTAAACTTTGATTGTTGACACAAATGCTCAATCAAAATATGGTTATTCATACATATGAAGAATAATGATACAAAACAGTTACAACAAGAAATATGTGATTCGAAAATCTTGAACACAGTGAGAAGTTTTCTGAAAACAATAGTGAAACTGTTTGATACAAGATTAAATCATGTAGAATTATTTATAATGTTTATGTTAATTGATACATATAAATTATTATATTAAAACGTCGTTTTCCACGCACAGAAAATTTTAAAGAAAAAAAATGGTCATCGTTTAGGCCATTGCTGTCGGACGACGAAAACCAGTAGATGAACAGAATTGAAAATGAACCATCCATCGAACAGAATTACTTCTAATTCACTTCATTGATAAAACTAATGAACATTATCCGAAAATACACTAAAACTTCGTACAACATTGAATCTCAAACTTATTTCCGATGTGCACAAAGAAAAACTAATTATTTATTATCGATCTATCCAAAGATGGACATCCGAAATCTGTCACCAAAGCGCAAAAATCAGATGGATATTACCTTGATAAACTACTTTAGATTATTTACATATCAGAGATATCTTGGCTCGTCAAAAAGTCTTTCTTTTCTACTGAAAGCAATTGTTGATACACAACATATAATAATAAAAACACACACCATAAGGGATAATGTTCATGTGAATTTTGAAATATACGAGTCAACTAGCCGAAATCGGGGCTCCTCGAAAAACGCTTATAGTTCCTGAATGGAACAAAGCTAGGAAGGTTGGCCTTGTGTAGATTGAAAGAGAAAACATTTCGCTATCGAGTGATAAAATTTGGATTTGTAGATGAAACTGTAGTTTTCAAAATTAAACATCGTCTAATTTAACAATTTTTGTTTTATTTCTTTCAGTAGATATAATAAAAAGAAAAGTCTTCCAAATTAAGAGAATCTTCAGGAGTCGAATAAAAGTTTTGGAGATTGAAAACTGCCGACGCAATTTCTACAAAACTAGATATCATCCAGTAGCGTTTCATTGTTTTTTTTATTCTGAATGAGCTAAACGTCTTTGTTTTCTTTATTTTTACTCAGATTAACAATTCTCATCATATTGCTGAGTTTAAATTATTTTACTTCCTATCAATCGATTAATATTTTGTCCAATTATAAAGTTCATACTTTTTCACAAATTTTGTTTATTTCAGATTTAGTGTTATTCTCTATAGAAAAACAGCGTTCAATTCAATTGAAAACAAATATTTAAATACTAAAAAAACGTCAAAAATTATTATTAAATCAACATTATTCGATTAAAACAAAAAAAGATGCTGAGCCAGAAATAGCTTTACTATTGATGATTAGTATAACATTTTTATTTTCTTTGTTTTTTTGTTCTTTTATTGTCTTTTTAATTCTTTGCTATGACTAGGTACAAAAGAAGCTTGTATGGACAACCTTCCAAAATTAGAAGAACAAAAAACACAACAAATAGAATCTACTGAAGAATTAGAAGTAGAAGAAGATGACGATGAAGAAGAAGAAGAATGTACTCTACCAACAATAAGTGAAACTGATATAGTTCTTATGAATTCATCTACAAATAAAAGAATTTTAGAAGACAAAGCTTTAACACCTATACAGAATACAGCAGATTATCTTGGAACAGAACAATGCACAAAAATAATACAACAATCCACACCAAACAAACAATCAATAACAAAGATATCAAAATGATAATGATTATAGTCAAAAATCAACAGATAATGATCTTGATTTTGATATTTCATGTGATGAAGATGAAAATGGTTTATTGATTGCTCAACAACAAAAGAAAATGAACGATTTAGAACATAAATTGATAAATGCTAATTTAACAATTCAAATATTGAAAGATACAATTCGAAAATTACGTGCAAATTTAGTTCGTAAGTATTCATAAAACCTAATAAATATAAACACTCTATTGGAAAAATAATCTTGAATAATTTTATTTTAGCTAAACCGCAAGATTCTTGCGGTTTAGCTGATTCTTGCTGCGGCAAGAACCAGCAGTCAGGAAATTTTTATCAGATTTACTACAACAAATAACGCTAGAATCTGTTCAAATAGATATTAAAGAATGGGCAAGAAAACTTTCAATAACTGAAGGACAATTAAAGTATTCATTCGAAGAAAAAGAAAAAGTAACTGCACAAAATATATCAAGACATGTTTTCAGAGATATATTACGTGAATATAATAATCGTAATTATCATGGAGATCATTTAAAATTGGATGTAGGAATAATGAATCAAATTCATAGAAAGTATTATAGTTCTGTTTAATTAAAAGTAACAAAGTATTACTCTGTTGTTTTTCTTTTTTATTATAAGAATTCTTGAAAAAATTTATAAAAATAAATATGGTAAAGGACCAATCGATAGAGCAATTAAACGCGTTTTTTATCTTCAGAAAAATCAAATAATAGTAGCTGAAAAAAAACGTTTAGCTGAAGATGGTAAGCCGAAGATGGTCGATTCATTAATAACAATGAATAATGATACAATTGCACAACAAACTACACAAGATGATCATAATGAAAATAAAACACAGGATGGTGATAATGCTGTTAATATTGCCCCAGCAGTTGGATCACAGTAACCTTAAAGCGATGCATTTACAACTAAACACAATTGTTTGAAAAAAAACGTTGGTTATTCTTTTTTCTATTATTGTTATTTTTTCGTTTATGAGATTTGGTTTATTTTTATTCTGAAAATATGTTTGTTTCCAAGTTAAAAAAAATCAGTGAAAAAAATAAAAAGTCATTGTTGTTATATCAATTTTCTTTTTTTTTATTGTTATGTATATTACATACCATTATTTAAGCAAATAAAACAGTTTTATTATTATTTTGAAAACACATTTATTTAAAAGCCAAGAAAACGATGGAAGAAAACATTGTTGTTACATTACTTATTTTATTTTTATTGTTATGTATATTACATGTGTAAATGCTTCGTGTAAGCGTTATTTCAGCAAACAAAACTAGCTTTCATATATGACACAGTATTGTTTATTAAAAGTTAGAGTGAGACTTTTGCCAAAAATTGGTGTTGTTCAGTTCAAGAAGTTTATTTATTTTCAATTTTATTGCTTCATCTTTTCTATTTCTTGATAATCTGAGACATCTATTGAACATGACTTATTGTTTCTCTCATGCAATGACTCCTAAGAATTAAGCGTTCATCCTGATAAACCTTCATTTTTAATTAGTTAAAGAGCTTTTTTCTCCATTTTATAAAAAAAAATTTGTGTATATTGGTCAAATGTAATAAATTGAATCGAGTTTATTTTGTATTTATTTTCTCGTTTCGATTGTACGTTTGTTTCTTAAAATGAATTCAACAAATAGACAATCCAAAAATACAACATGTAAATACAAGAGAAAAACAGAACAAATAATCAAAGAACGTTTTATTTTCATAAATGAGGAAGAAGGACTGAAAGGACTAAGTATTTTGTTAACAGGAATAGGAAAAAAATCGACAACAAAAGTAATTGCAACTGTTTTGTGTTTAACGCAATATAAACATCGATTATCCAAATCTTGTATTAACGATATTTGTACATTATTAAAAAAATTAAGTATTGAAGAATCATCAATATCATATTATCAACTTAAATAAGTATTAATTACTGATGACGAACCAAAAGTCTATACCTCACTCACGTAGTCGCCACAGAAAATCATCCTCATCTCCTTCTCACCTCTGAAATCCTACTACTGCTGTACTGTTTCATCTAGTAAAACATTAACATTTTGTTTCTGTTCTTTTATTTTTATTTATCTAGCCCCAAATCTCGTTCAGACTTTGTTTTAATGGATTTTATGAGGATAAGTTGGCTATTACGCTTATTATTATTGTATAATGACGAAAGTGATGAATTTTGATTCTACCGACAGCTTTTTGTGTATGACTGGGCTTATAACAATTATGCCAAATTGGATTAAATGGTTGTCGCTGTGATGATTGTGAATGATAACTATTAGACGAACAATTATTATCATTATTATGACGTATTACAGATTTGTTTCGTTTAGTTTCACTTTGATTCCACAGATTTTCGAACGTAAGAAACATTGCGAGCCTTACTCAAAAAGCAGGACTAACTATGAGCACAAAATTCTAGTATATCTCTCTATTAAAGAACCTAATTTCGTGAAATTTATTCTCAACAACTTTCATGTTGTGGACATATTGATCGAAGACTGAATCATCATTCTCTAACCCAAAAAGTGGTATTAATGACCCGCAACTACTCTATTTTATACCTGGTATCATTAACAGTAATCGTCTGGAATTATTAAATTTCAATTGTAATTGCTCTACAATCAAATGTTGAGTATTTCTTATTTTAAACTGTGCTCCTCGCTTCAATTGCTTTCGTGTGAATTCTGTACATTTCAATAAAGAAACGTTATGCTACACCTCGGAGTCTTGAGATAAAGAGCAAAACCTAATGATCTTACAAGTTCCTTCAGAAGTTTTTCAACCACATTATTAGACAACCCATTCAATTCTCTGCAGAATGAGATGTTTACCAAGCTTCTACGATCCTGGCCCACCAAGTTGCAGGCTCTTTAACATTACTAATATAACTGCATCGAAAATTTTCACTTTAATGCTGAATTTTCGACCTGTATCGTATTTTCTATGGCACTTTTGACAAAACATCGTAGAAATTGAGCCAACATCCCATCTTGTAGAAAACTGAACGGGCTATTTAATGATTGACTGAAAAACTTCTGAAGAAAATTTTAAGGTCACTAAGTTTTCAGAAATCTCTATCTCAAGACTCCGAAGCGTAGCATAACGTTTCTGCATCGAAATATATAGAACTCGATGAGGCCAAGTTCAAGGTTTTACGATAGAGATTGGGATCATTAGACGTTTTACAAGTTAGACGAAAGCAGCTGGAAAATGACGCAAAATGCACCTTTCCCGGTAAATTGACTATAACTTTTTCTAAAAAGGCTAGATACCTGCCGTTTTCATCATTCGATTCAGTTTCCCGAGTTCTACGATATGAAGTGGGTTATGTCCCGTCACTAACGCCAACACTTTTGTATATTGTGGGAGGTTTCATATGGATGGAGCCAAATATAATGTTACAACATGCAAGAGAAGAAAATAATTGATAAAAATTTATGTCCTTATTTCAGTAGTATGCAAGATATGAATTATCAACGTAATGAGCTAATATTTGACGGTCGCAATGGAGAAAAGAACAAGATGAAAAGTTAATGTTTGCTGATTCTGTGAATGAGTCATTGAGTTGAATTTATTAAAAACATCAATAACCTTCTCGACAAGCGAATTACAATAGTTCGCCATACTTAACCCTTGTACTCCCAAGCCTATTTTAAACACAACAAACAGAATGCGTTCATAGAATGTATTTCATACTTCGATCCATGCAAAAAATAAAAATTTCATCGCATTTTCTTGTTTTTTGAGAACAGGGTCTAAATAGCCCCTGGTTGCTAGTACAAGCGTTAAGTCAACAACTATTTTGACATCTTATTTTTCTTCTATTTCTTGAATGTTTATTATAAGTACGTTTCTAACGGTATATTTTATCATAGAAAGATCTAGCTCATTACCTTTACAATTCTTATCTAGTATACCACTCGAATAAGGACATCATTTTTCAACGATTCTTTTCTTCTCTTGCACATTAAAGCATTATATTTGTCTACTTTTACTCTTTTTTTCATCCTTCTGCACTGGACAAGTGGCCATTGCATGACTGATGCTGAACAACAGTCGTGTCTTAGTTTTTTTTCTCATTATCACATAAAAACATGAAAGATGATAGGCTAAGTGTTATAACTCTCGAGCCAGACATAAATCAGATTAACAGCATGAGGTGTACCTTTCGAATGACAAATATTAGTGAATCACTGAATATTAAATTATATCTAAAAACATTTTGGATGGATTATCTGGTTATGGTCATTCTAGGAGCTGTTGCACTCGGCGTAAATTTTCTTAGACCAGTGCCTAATCGTCTGTTTCCAGTTTATTTTCGTGATGGTGAAATTGTAAATCCTGAATTTGCCTATCCATTTCGTAACAATATTATTCCCTCTTGGTTAGATGCTTTTATCGCTTTTATTGTCCCATTTCTGTTTATTATGCTGGCACAAATTCGTGTTCGTAGCTTTAACGATGCTAATACAGCTATTATGGGTTTATTATTTAGTCTACTAACTGCAACCATTTTTCAAGTCTGTATCAAATGGTTAATTGGTGGACTGAGACCTCATTTTCTTTCTGTATGTAAACCGAATATTACAGCAGCAAATGTTGGTAGTGGACATGGTTTCGGTGGAATAATGTTTGATCGTTCTATTTGTATAGGGGATGAAAAACAAATAAATTATGCTCTTGCATCAATGCCATCAGGACATGCAACTGCTGCATTCGCAGGACTTCTGTATTGTTCATATTATCTCAATGGAAAATTAAAAGTTTTCGCAAACTATCGTCCACAATACTGGAAACTCGTTTTGTTTTTTACGCCTATTCTTGGTGCAGTTTTAATTGCTGCTACTTTATCAATTGACCATTACCATCATTGGTATGATATATTAGTAGGAGGAATTATTGGGTCAATGATGGCAACAGGTGCATATAGATTTCAGTACGCAAGTATCTGGGATTATAGATTCAATCATATACCACTACCTCGAGTAGGAGCTGAAATTGGTTATAATTATGGTCTTGATGAGTTTAATGTGATGCCAGGATCAAGAAAAGGTGGATGGAATGAAACTAAAAATCAAATATATGGTGCACCATTTGATGCGTATACAAATGTAGTGAAAATGACGCCTGTTTCGTACGTAAATGTGGTTGTGTAAATGTCTCCTACGTTATTTTTGCTTGTAAAAAGATGTAACGTAGTGACTTTGAGAAGCGGTCATTTAATAGGAAAATTATAAGTTATTATCTGTTCTTAATTCTCTCATCTCATTCCTCTTCTTATGGTAAGAACATCTTAATATAAATAAATAAATAAATAAAATGGACATGGTTGAATAAAAAAATAAAACTGTCAGCTGGACGTTGTCCAGTAGTTCCGCCTGGTACAATTTTATTCTCTTCTATTAACGCTGAGAACAAATTTAAATGTTTTCGTCGATAAAGTTTTCGTTTTGTTCACAGCATTTCTGGCACATTCACATCCTAATAGATGAAATTTAATCTCATCATTAGTGTTATTCATCCCAAAATATAAGACTCATAGTTTTTTTTAATTAACTCAAAGGCGATGAAAGATAGAGACTTGCGGTTTTCAGCAATCAATCTAAATTCATCCAAATTATGCCGTAATATCAAGATGTACACTATTTTACCTGAATATGATTTTTACTTGAGAATAGTAAAAAAACATTCCTGTACTTCCGAAGATATCTAGAAAACCTTTTCAAAAAGAGAAGTATATTTCGCTGATTTTTAAAGCTTCTGTTGAACTGCATAGTATTGAGTAGGTAAAACAGAGTGCATCTTGATATTTATATCAAAATTTGGATAGACTTTGACTTGGTTACAAGTTTTCTAATTTTACTCAAAAATAGGGAAAAATGCGTTATTTCACCCAATATAGGTTTTCACCAGATTGTTATAACTTTTTTGAAAAATAAATGTTTTCACGAGATTCAGCGTGACCGACATCTATGTTTCCATTCGTTTTCGGAATTACCACGTCGAAAGAAATGTTGATCCTGGGACTCTAAGGAAATCCGATGCCACGCCTGAACCAGAGAAAATTAAGAATTCGCTTAGTTCTGTTTCTGAAGAGAACACTTTGGTCTATCTATCTGTGGAAAATACTCATAGATTGCTATCTCAGTTACCGAAGATTCGAACTGGTTTTTTAAACATATCGTAGAGAACCGATCTTCCGAGTGTTTCCAGAAAACGATTTTGCTCATGAAAATATAGGCTAAACTGTTGTCTTTCTATTGCTCAAAACCGCAAACCTCTGTCTTTTACCATCTTTGAGTTATTAAAAAGAAAACTACCCACCTCATATGTTAGGATCGATACTTAGCACTCCTTAAGGGTGTCCCCCCTCTTTTTTGGGCTTTCCTAAACTCAAATAAAATGAAACTTTCAGAGAACACTCTTCTCTATATGATACGTGTACTGTATTAGCCCAAAATAGCCCAAATGCTTCTGGACCGAGATATAAGTTTTTCAAAAAACTTTGGGTTTTCAGGTTTTTTCACGATTTTCTCGGCTCAGAAGCACTTTTAGACAAAAGTAACGACAGATTCAGGATCAGCGCGAGAAACTGCATCGAATGATGTGTTTACCAGCTGGCTCTGAGCAAAGTCATTTTTCACCAAAAGTCCAGCCTTAGTTTAAAAATCCTATTTTCAATTATTTCTTGTCCGCAATGACGTTAAACTACGGGTCTGCAATGACATAAATCTAGATTAATGGTGTTTGGTTGTGGTAAGGTTATGGACAAAGGTAAGACCTTGGATACCAAGATTTTGTAATAGCAATCTGGGTTTGAGGGTACCGTCGATACGGTTAGCTCAATAGGAAGCAAAAAGAAGCTACAACCTCTCTGGCTCACACTGCAGTTTGTGAGCAGCCGTTAACCGTTCGATCGAGGCCACACTCTCAGATTGCTATTCTTGTGGATGTATTTGGACTCCCGTTCAGCTCGAGACGATTTACTGAGAAGAGCAGAAGACTAAGGAAATCCTTAAACCTCCAAAGAGAGTCCGAAAGGATAGGGGATGAGGTCTTCAGGTATGGATAAACCAAACTCCTAACAGCTCACATTGGTGTCGTCCTCTGGCACTTATAGCTGAAAAGGAGTCTAAAGACTTACTTTCTTCTGTAAATGCCGTTTTCGAACCAACTGAAAAGCATTTACAGGAAAACGGCACTACTTTCGAACACAACAACGTAAAATACGAAGTTAAAATATGTATCGAAAGTAGTATGAAGGACCTGAAAGTCCGAACTGCTGAAGCTGGCTTAGGTGGTGCTGACTGCCTACTTTGTACCACTAGATCTTCAGAGTGGAAAGATCTAAGTAAACTGAATGATCCAAACTATTTTGCCATCACTCGAAGTGCCGAAAAGACACTAGATCTGTACAGACAGATTGTTCGAGATGATGGCGAGATCACTAAGATCAAAAATGATTATGCAACCAGACAAGGTCTTACTAGTGAACCTTTGTCTAGTCTAGACAACCATTATATCACAGTTACACATCAGTATATAAATGGAGTAACTTGGATACTGAAAATCATTTATCACCTTCGTGCTAACGTTTTAAACTGGAGTGAAAGAGGTGATATAAAAGATCTAATTAAAAAAGCACGAACTGCAGTTCTGATTGAAATTGAAACCAAAACTGGCCTTCGGTTCCCAAGCAAAAACGACCCAATTTTTTGGGTTATTTATCTAGATTCATCTCCACGTACATCTAGATGCACATGGAGCTGAATCTAGATAAATAACCCAAAAAATTGGGTCGTTTTTGCTTGGGTTAGACCAGATGGATGTGACGGGTAATTCCGGTACTTCCACTATTGGCGGCCAAGGTCGAAGCTTCTTTTCCTTCTAACTGAGAAATGCTATTGTTGAAAGCGTTCCATCGAATTATCGAGACACTTTCAAAAAACTCTTGCGGTATTACTCTGCAATACTTCGTGTTATTTCGTCAACTGAAATAATTAATGTTGATAAATCTAAATAGCTGACGATGGACTTCGCAGTCTTAATAACAAAAGATTTTCATTGGGTGGACTATTCAATCACAGTTCATTCTCTGATCTTCCACTCTGCTGAGCTGATTCAAAGAAACAACTCTACCGGACTGGGAGAGTTATCCGAAGAAGCTCTCGAAAGTTGCAACAAAGACATCCGTAATTTTAGAGAATTTCTTGCTCGCAAATGCGGACACATTGAAAATCTCACGGATGTTTTTAATCGATTGTTCCTTCGGAAGTAGGAGGATAGTACAAGAACACAGTGAGTCACGAACGAAATGAACAGAAAGAAAGGAAAAGAAGAAGAGAACATAGTCTTATGAGCTGCCAGGAATGGCAGATCATAACAGCACCATACGATTCATCGCGATGAATGAACATTTCTACATATTTTGCTTTTAAAAAATTAAAAAGATACTCCACAGTAAAATTCACGTGTTGTAATTGTGGGCGATCACTGTGTTAACTTCGTTTTACACATTACGCAAGTAATCTGAACTCTTACGTCGCTTTAGTATTTTGCCATAAGAAAAATTTCGTTTTGCACTAAGAATAAGATATTTTCGATTATTTTCGATTTCGAATAATCGAAATCGGTGCATGCCTGACTGTGACAGAGCGAGAGGGTAAGTCATAGCCATTGATCGTCATTTTCCAGGTAGTTTTACCTGACAGTATGATGCATGTCCAGCTTCGCTTTCCGACGAATGAATGTTTCAGGCTCTTAAATTTTAAAGGGGAGATGAGCTCTTATAGTTGATATACACCATAAAAAGATTTAGATTTTTCATGGTATATCTGCCACTGGGATAATATAATAAACAAACGAAATAGTAGAATTTATACATTATTTTGATGCTAATTCGAAAAATATTGTTTTTCTTTTGCATTGTGAAAGACTGTAAAGTTTTTCGTTTTTTCATGCTTCGTAAACTCGATCACTATCTCAAAGTTTATTAAAATCTTTGCCAGTATAACAAAACCATATAAATGACTCTAAAAGCTTCAGTATATCCTGTTATTTTAATTTTTGTTTAGTATATAAGAATAGCAAGATGCATCTGAGGGAACCCTTGGATTTTTGAAGACCTATCCCTTGACGACAATCTCCTGTCATACAAAGGACGGGGGCGATTATTTGATGGAATCGGCCCCTACTTGAATTCCATCGACACATACATGGTTAGATGCAGAATGAACAGGAGAACATTTCTAACCACTCAGCAGGCCTTAGAAATGCTCTCAGAAAAAATTGGGTCCAATTAACTGTAATCACTTCCGACATGTATTATTGATCATATTTTCGAGTGTGTCTCTCTCTCGGCCTCATACCTCAGTAGATTATATGTCATTCGAAAGCTCTTTTTCTGCGCTATATTTCTGTATATCATATATACGGAAATAGTCCTTCTGAAGCCAAGTATGTTTAGAAATACTTCCGTCTATGGAAAATAATCTCCTATGCGCAAAAAGTCTAAGATAATCTATGACACCCTTTATCATCTAGCCACTACGATACCAATCGATAGAGAATTTCTTGCGCTACAAGTTCATATATATATGATAGTGAAAAACGTGTCCTGGGACCCGTTGACATTAGAAATACTTTCTGCAAAGCCATGAAAACCGGATGACTAATTCCACGGTGAGGATCCTATGATCAACGTTTCTCAACTACCCACTATGATAGATATATCATTCGGTGGAGAATTTCTTCCGCTACTATTCCATGTTTATAACATAGTGACAAAAGTGTCCTGGAGCACCTTGACATTAAGGCACCCGGTATTCTATAGTGCTTTTTCACGCAACTGCAGTCGATTTACCACTAGCCACAAGAGGCGTGAAAAGTACCAAAATCTTCCCGTGAAAAAGCACTACAGAATGCCAAGAGAAGCCTTATTTTGCTCAGAATTTTTCGCTCTATTGGGCTATATGGTTTGCAAAATTTTCTCACTAAAAACTTAGGATTTGGTTTTTCAGCCGTCAGGTTTTCCAGAAGCTCTATTATGAACTTTTTTCAGGAAAGGCTGATATGCACCTAATCTGATAGAAAACTCTTCGGGCTATTCAAAATATTATTCAGATTGGTTCCAGATTTTACTAAAAGGTCAAAAACAAGAGAGTTTTGTGATTATGACACACAGTCAAGGGGGGAAAAGCATACTTCTGGTACTTCTCCGTACTTCTTGATACTTCTTCGTACTTCTTCGTACTTTTTTGTACTTCTCCGTACTTCTGAAGTACGGAGAAGTACAAAAAAGTACGAAGAAGTACAAAGAAGTATCAAGAAGTACGGAGAAGTACCAGAAGTACAGAAGTATGCTTTTTCCCCCTTGCACACAGTACTGCTTAGATAACACCCAAGAGTTTCTTTTCAATATCTTTAATGACAGGCGGGCCCCAGCTGTCTATATATTGTGACTAGCTCACTTTGTAGAGAATTTCAAGGGCTATCCAGTGAGATGAGGCCGAGAGAGAGACACACTCGAAAATATGATCAATAATACATGTCGGAAGTGATTACAGTTAATTGGACCCAATTTTTTCTGAGAGCATTTCTAAGGCCTGCCGAGTGGCTAGAAATGTTCTCCTGTTCATTCTGCATCTAACCATGTATGTGTCGACGGAATTCAAGTAGGGGCCGATTCCATCAAATCGCCCCCGTCCTTCCGGCTTATTTTTTTTTTGGTATGTCAAACTCGGAATAACAAGCTAAAATTATTGAAAGATTATTCTGCGAAGGCAAAATTCTACATGAAATGTGTTGAAACAATGTTTATTCTGTCTTTACATTGACGAAAAAAACATTAAATTATTGAAACGTAAAGAGAAGCCTCAACATCTTCGCGTAAAAACACTATGATTCTTGAATACTTAATATGGCCTAGTCGCAAGCTCTACTGGACGCTTCCAAACCTTTCCAGTACTATATCACAAAAATATACGCTCCATTGACGAAAGCACAGCAGCAACCACTCTACAATAGCAAAAGCTGTATACGTAGCGATGTTCTAGACATGAGGCTAAGAGACTCATGCAATCTGATTCAAACATTAGTGTCTGCCAAGTTTATAACGAATTCCGGAATTCAAGTACTGGAGCTCCTGTCACATCTGCGGTTTATTTAACACTTTCCTGCTTTGGGTCTTTTATAGTTGTATTGAATATCCAAACTTGTTAATGTTGTGTTTATTTTCAATGCTTCTTCAATTGCTTTGGCTCCTTCATCTGTTATATAGTTGTAGTTCATATTGAGGCTTGTTAATGTTGAGTTTGTTTTCAATGCTTCGGCAACTCCTTTGACCCCTTCATCCGATATGTTGTTCTCCTCAATATTAAGACTTGTTAATGTTGAGTTTGTTTTTAATGCTTCTCCAACTGCTTTCGCCCCTTCATCTGATACATTGTTGTTTCCAATAGTAAGACTTGTTAATGCTGAGTTTACTTTTAATGCTTCTGCAATGGCTTTCGCTCCTTCATCCGATGTACTGCTTCTTTCAATATCAACACTTGTTATTGTGGAGTTTATTTTCAATGCTTCTGCAACTGCTTTCACACCTTCATCCGATATATCGTTCCACCCCATATGAAGGCTTGTTAACGTTGAGTTTATTTTTAATGCTTCTCCCACTGCTTCCGCCCCTACGTTTGATATATGATTGTTTCTAATACTAAGACTCGTTAATGTTGAGTTCATTTTCAAGGCATCTGCAACTGTTTTGATCCCTTCATCTGATATATAGTTGAAATTCAAATTTAGAGTTGTTAATGTTGGGTTTAAGATCAATGCTTCGGCAATTTCTTTAGCTCCTTCATCGGATATATTGTTCTTTTCAATATTCAGACTTGTTAATGTTGAGTTTATTTTCAAGGCTTCTCCAATTGCCTTGGCTCCTTCAGACGATATATTGTTGTACTCAATATTAAGACTTGTTAACGTGGAATTTATTTTCAAGGCATCTGCAACTGCTTTGCCTCCTTCAGACGATATACCGTTGTATCCCATATTAAGATTTGTTAGCGTTGAGTTTATTTTCAAGGCATCTGCAACTGCTTTAGCCCCCTCATCTGATATATAGTCGTGGTTCATATTGAGACTAGTTAACCTTGAGTTTTTTTTCAATGCTTCACCAACTGCTTTGGCTCCTTCGATCGATATATCGTTGCTTCCAATATTAAGACCTGTTAATGTTGAGTTTATTTTCAATGCCTCTGCAATTGCTTTAGCTCCTTCAGTCGATATATCGTTGTTTCGAATAGTAAGACGTGTTAATGTTGAGTTTATTTTCAAAGCATCTGCGATTGCTTTGGCTCCTTCGTCTGATATATTGTTCAAGTATATCTTGAGACTTGTTAACGTTGAGTTTATTTTCAGTGCGTCGGCCACTGCTTTCGCTCCTTCATCCGATGTCCTGCTTCTTCCAATGTCAACATTTGTTAATGTTGAATTTATTTTCAATGCTTCTCCAACTGCTTTCACCCCTTTATCCGACATATCGTTCCACCCCATATAAAGGCTTGTTAATGTTGAGTTTATTGTCAAGGCATCTGCAATTGCTTTGGCCCCTTCATCCGATATATTGTTCTTTTCAATATTAAGACTTGTTAATGTTGGGTTTATTTTCAGGGCATCTGCAATTGCTTTGGCCCCTTCATCCGATATATTGTTGTTTCGAATATTAAGACTTGTTAATGTAGAATTGATTTTCAATGCTTCTCCAACTGCTTTGCCTCCTTCAGACGATATATTGTTATTTCCAATATCGAGACTTGTTAATGTGGAGTTGGTTTTCAAGGCATCTGCAACTGCTATAGCCCCTTCCGACGATAAATTGTTGCTTGTAATATTGAGACTTGTAGTATCATTGCGCTTTAGTTTGTCGACGGTTTGTTTTTCTTTCTCGCGTATGTTCCACATTGTTTGTGAGACCACAGTTCATGTAACAGCTAATGCTGATGGGTGCCAGAATCAAGGTATTCTAGGACGAATAATTTTCGTGTACTTACTATAGATATTTATACACCGATATTTCTCTGCTGTGAGAGAAGGAAGAAAAAGGTACACAAAAATCGTCTCACTTACATATAGTCAACGTACCTACATTGCTAGTGTTAGGAATGAGCAATTCTGCATGTGAATATTATCTTGTGCTTATTCAACCATACAAGGAGACGTTAGTGATTTTTCACATGCATTATTCGTAGGCTGCATGTTGACTTTGTTCATCTCTCTAGTTAAGCATACATCAAAAAACGCATTTCAGTTAGTTAAATGCCGAATCGTAACTCTGATTGTCGAAATCTGTTAATTATAGTTTTCTTAATGGTTACATGACCACAACATCGTCCATTGCAGATTTTCGACGTTTGTTCCCGAGCTGATTAAGTGAACAGAGAAAAAGTACTTTTACTTGTACACACTGGTACCGGAAATACACAGACATTGTCTGATGTATTACTTAATAATATAAAATTTTCAGAGTAGGAGGAGGTACAAAGTCTGTTCCGAAATGTTTTTAGATATGAAAACGTTATATTGATAGATGATTGAATATGTCTCTTGGTTTTTTATTCATTTTAGCTGTTTTAGTCGCTTTGTAGGATACAAGTCTAGCGAGACTCTCATTTTCTATCGTTTACGCCTGGAATCGGATTTCCTGGTGGACCAAGGACTGATTTTTTTTATTCACATGTTAAGGCAGGGGTTATCGGCCACGCTGAATCTCATGGCAATGTTTGTTTTTAGGAAGAGTTCAATGATTTGCTGGAAATTAAGTGTTACAAAAACTAAGATTTCCAGGTTGTTTTTACCTAATATTGAAAAATTTACAATCCACTCAAAAAACAACAGGATCAGCTCAAAACTTCTCAAAAATTAGTGTGAGGTCGAAAAGTATTTGCAGTCTAAATGGTGATCAATGTCGGAGAAAAGTAAACGTACTGAATGGCTAAAGGGAGTAAAAGACTGAGTATAACTTTTTCATAGCTAAAAGCATCTCGGGGCAATCTTTGTAACATCTTCGAACTCTCAAAATTTTCTAGATTAGTTGAAAATTTCATTGATGTTTGTTAAAGAGTCTTCAATGTATCATTTCGCTGAGCAATTTATCATAATTCTTTTATGAAAAGAATTAGATCATCATAGTGATGGTGAGAAAAGCATGAACTAAGGAAAAAATGCTTCAGCGTACCAATTGATGTAGGGTTTTCTTTCGCGATTTCAGTAATCTTCAAAGACATAATCATGCAGAGTTAATTACTCCAGTATATGCATTTCACTCAAATATGACGTTCTTGATGTTTTGTTGGATTCTCTCATCTGTTCGACAAAAACAAAGTGCATATCAAAGGAAAGAGATCAAGAACAAAACAGTCGAGATATGCGTGTAAAAAATAGAGAGGATGAAAAATGAATGTGATACAATGTTTTAGATTTTTGATCTTGTGATGATGAGGTCATATACAAAATGGAAAATGACGTACAAATAAAAATATCTTTAATTGTCTCCCATATGGTAAGTTAGAAAAAAGTCACCCTTTCCCTCTTGGTTTGGACACTCGGAATTAAGTATTCGAAATGTTTTAGAGATGAAGCTTCTGCTGGATAGTCCGTTGCGACACAAAATATTTGTAAAAATATGAAAAACTTTTCATATTATGTGAAATTTTTGAATTATTTGTGCGGGTTTAAAACGAAGGCAACTTTCGAGCTTAGAGGATAAGTAATACGCAAGGGTGATTCTTTCGAGAGTGTACCACATTTACATCGACTTTATCCGGATTGTTCGAGAGTAACAGGACTAGTACAACTTGAGCTCCTGATGACGAATATCACGTTTAAAAGATTCTAAAACAACGGCACGGTGACCTCCTAGATCTGTGAAGAT